GTGAGTTAAAGGGACTCCTTAGGGAAGGCAGTCCGTGACCAAGGACAGCTGAGGTCCTGCCAGGGCCAGGAATTTAGAGGTCACGGGGAGTAGGCACCAGACAAAGACTGGTTGTGGCCACTGATAAACACTGGTCACCTAAGCACACCTCTCCAGGGCTTAGCCAGCTTCATGGCCCCAGGGCTCAACCTATGCGACTGGGGGAGGGGAAGGACCTGCCGGTGCCCTGGGGCTGGGGGACATAGAGGCAGAAACACAGAAACACACACCAGACATAGTCACACACACACAGGCTTGGGATTACACTGTGTGTACATCCATGTACACATGGACACATGTATGCTCAGCAGCAAGATCAAGTGTTGCAGGGTCAGCGACCTGGTGCCACCCAGACACAGAACTCAGTGCAGTCTGTGGTTGTTTCCATGCATACACATGCACACATACGCATACAGGTCATCTGCTTTCGAGCACACATACTCCTGCCTACCTACATGTTCTTTGGTGGACACCCTTAGAGCCGTGCTGTCTCCAGTTCTGTGTGGACTATAGTGATGTCATCCTCCTTCCCCAGGAAACAGACCTTGGCTGGCCTCCATTCTGGATCTGTGCCAAGACTGTGTTCAAGTATAGAGATGAATGTGCACACATGTGTGGATGTATGTACATCCTTTGGTTCATATGGACCCAGGAAAATACTATAGAGCCAACTTGCTGTGACATTTCTAGGGCAGACGCTCCTGACAGACACACAGAAGCATTCCAGCAAGGATTTCCTAGCCAGCAATACATGGTGTTGTGAATTTGCACACACAAACATACATGCCCATGGATTGGACTGTCCTCTGGACCTCAGGTGGGTCTCCCATATCCTTTAGGAAGAGAAAAATCATTTTTAAGATTTTCCACTTGTGGGAGGGGAATATAGATCAGCAGCATAGCAGTTGCTTGGCCAAGTGGAAGGTTGTGAGTTCGATTCCCAGTATGGGGGGAAAAAAGAAAAAAAGGAAAGGAAGGAAGGAAAGAAAGAAAGAAAGAAAGAAAGAAAGAAAGAAAGAAAGAAAGACTTCCCATTTGGACTGGGCCCCAAGAACAGAACATAGGCATGGCTGCCTGGCTGCCTGGTAGCTTCCAGGACTCAGGATAGGCTTGGAGGTGCTTCTTGGTCTGGGGGTCTGCATAAGGAAGAACTGACACCAGGAGAAAGCAGCCCCATCTTTGTGAGGGTTTAAATAGGACAAATGAGCCAGTTATGGTGGCACAGGCATGTAATCCCAGCACTCTGAGAGGTTCAGGCAGGAGGTTTGCAAGTTTGAGCCCCCAGAAAGACAACATAGAAAGACCCCATCTCAAAATTAAAAGTAAGAAGAAAGGCTGGTAAAGGCCTTGGGTTCAATCCCCAGTACCATAGAGAAATAAATAAATAAATAAAGAAAGAAAGAAAGAAAGAAAGAAAGAAAGAGCAGGTGATCACCCACCAGTCAGGGGTTGTGTGTGTGTGCACATGTGTAAATTTACTCAGTTCAGCTTCTATTCTATGTGAGACCCTGGACTTGGGACTTGGGTCACAGTGGTGAGTAACGTACAACTGGGCTCTTGGAGGAGCTTAGCCTTAAAAGAGAATAGATAGACACAGTCAGTATACAGGCCTGGCTCCGGGTACAGGGGTCAGGGGTGGGGAGCAGAAGGTCACACACACGTGGACAGTTTCACATCCTGTGAAACGCCTGAGGCGCAGGCGTGGCAGTTTGGAAATGTTCATGTTAAATACGAGATACCTTATCTGGTCTCTGAGCCTCTCTCTATTCTGAGATTCTTGCATGTTTGGTCTGTACTGTGGGACCCTCCCAAGGAGAGGAGTTATACCCAGCTCGCTAAACAGCACATGTGGTCCACACCAAAGCTGCACCGAGAGCCCATGGTGAGGACAGTGGATGGGGCTAGTAGATCCCCAGGAACAAAGCAAAGATTCCTCCTGTGAGGAGTTCACTTTGGGAGAAGGTGGTTGGTCAGACTGTCTTCTGGTTCTTGGCTTCTTAGAAGTGAAGAGCAGCCCACTGATCACCCAGCCGCCTTCTCTTACTTCCTTGTCTCTGGTGATGCCAGAGGATTGAACCAGGATCTCTGTGCACAAGTGCTCCACCACTGAGCTACACCCCTGCCAGGCAGTGCAGGGATGAGGTGAGGATCTCAAACTACATAATTGTAATCAGTGTGCTTTTTTTTTAACCCCCCCCCCAAATGTGGAGAATCCATTTTACACCTGTAACTGCTGGTGCCACAAGCAAACACAGACACAATACATGACCAGAAAGCCCCAACATATCGAGGTACAACATTCACCTGTGCCTCTTTCTAGAAAAAATTATCCAGGCTTAATTAGAGAATGAGGATTCTTTGAAACTGGTTTTTCCTTTTTTCCCCATTCCTTGCTCAGATATAGAGGTTGCAGCCCTGGGCTCCGGGGATGACCTAGGTTCTAGATTCTTACTCTTTTTGTGTCCCCTTGGAGGCATCTCTTTGGGCCTGAGTGTCTCTAGCTGTAAAGTGGGGGTACCTGTGAGGACTGTTGAGCATTAACTGCTCTGATACCCACAAAGGACCCAATAAAGCCTTGGTGGCAGTCAGCGCTCAGTCGATGTTGGTCATGGTGGTTAGGAGGAGAGCAGTCAGTACTTATGGTTAAATGAGGGCATTTTGTATTGTTTGCATTCAGGATAAAGTTATTGGAAAATAACATCTTCCTGGCTGCTTCTCAGAGGTAACTTGGGCAAGAAGTGGGGATGGAGTTGGGCAGTGCAGGACAGGCAGAGTCCTCTGAAATCTTTTTTTTTTTCCTCTGAAATCTTTTTTAAAAAATTAAGCTTAAAAAATTAAGCTTTCTGGTCTGGAGATGTAGCTCAATGGTAGATCAAGAAAATTCATAGATATAGGGCCAGGGATTTAGCTCAGCGGCATAAGCACCTGCCTTGCAAGCATGTGGTACTGAGTTCGATCCCTGGTACCAAAAAAAAAAAAGTCATAGGCATAATCTCCAGCATTGGGGAAAATTATATATGTATTCATATAATATAATATAAATGCTTTCATATGTATGCTTTTGGAGGACTGGGGATGTAGCTCAGAGGTTTAGCACTTGCTAGCATGCATGGGACCCTGAACTCCATTCCCACCACTGCAAAGGGGGACGGAAGACGGGGGGCGGGGGAGGAAGGAGAAGGAAGAAGGGAGGAGAAGGAGTCAGGGAGAGAGGGAGGGACGGGGAGCAGACCGGCGAGCGAGCTTTCTCAGCTGGTGAGGGCTCAGGTCATTACTGCGGGCGCCAGCAGGGGGAGCCCAACTCGCTCCGGGGAACCGGACCTGGAAAGTACACGCAAGGGACCGCACTGAACCACACACCTACTGTGCACTTTATGGGTGGCACGGAAGTTGGGGGTGCGGGTGGTGCAGTGGGATGCCCTGGAACGAACGCAGACGCAGAAGCAGACCTGGCGAGCGCAAGCCCCCTTGGCCGCAGCGCCCGGGTTCGGGTGCTGGAGGGAACCGGTGTGGCGCTGGCGGTGTCCCGCGCTGGAGAGCACTGTGCTCGCTGAGCCCAGCACCGACTCTCAGAGTGCAGTAGGAAAAGCTCCTCGCGGGGCCTCCACTTACTGCAGTTTGGATGCGAGAAACCTTCCACTGCGGCCCTCAGCCCGCCTTGGCCCTGGGCAGGAGTGCCACGTGAGGTCTGGCCTGGACAGGGCCATTCCTGATGCCACCACCCGCCGCGCAGTTTTCCTGTCCGCTCCCGCCCGCCGAGGCGGTGGGCGGCTGAGGGAGAGCTAATTCAGGAGGCCTGCTGCGCGGCCGTGTGCGTCTGCATGCAGCTATACAGGACCGGAGCAGTTGTTTTCATAGATTTTTAAAGCACCAGAACTCCATCATTGCAGCTAATTAAAAACCGGTTGCGTCTTGGCTTCTTAAAATGCCAGAATCGGCAGACAGAGGAGGAGCAGAGAATGGAGAAGCCCTCCCCAGTGACAGAGCAGGTGGGCAGCCCCGAGGGTGGGGCTCCGTGGGGGCAGTGGGATCCGGAGAGGGAAAGTGGCCCCAGGGACCCTGCTCTCACGGTGGCTGGAGTGCAGACCTACACATTTGCAGTGGTGTGACCCTGGCCATGTCTTTTAACCTCGTGGGCTCATCGGAGCCAGAATAGCAACCCTTGGGGGCGGGGGAGGGTGCTCCAGGGAGGATGCCGTGAGGACTCAGGGATGGGCGGTCACTGGAGTTTGATATCATTTAACCCTCTTGCTAAGCCTCCTGTGTTCACATAGGAGGAAGCCAGGGTCTCACTGGAGGGGAGTTGGGCGCTCTGGTTTCTGGGGTGGAAACCTCTTGTTGTTCCTTAGATGCCTTTCAAAGTTCTGGAAGTGGGCTGGGTATGGTGGTGCACCTCATAATCCCATTACTTGAGAGGCTGAGGCAGGAGGATTGTTGAGAGTTCAAAACCAAGACTGTTTAAAAAAAAAAAGGTTCTGGAAATAAAGTGCTGGGTCCCTGCGAGGGAGGAGACACACCTGAGGTGACTGAAGCGGGACCCTGGGCAGGACAGGTCGGTTTTTCCTATCTGTAAAGTGTGAGACAGGCTGAGCAGAGATGTGGGAGTGACTCCCCAATGTCACCCAGTGTGGGAGGAACAAGATTAAAAGCAGGGAGCTGCTATCTAGTTCTGGCCAACTCCCTCCCCTCGGTGTCCCTGAGGGTGGCTGACTCTGAAGTTGGGACCCATCCAGGGACAATGGAGGGGCACAGCGAGTGTGAGGGCCAGGGCGTAGTCCAGCGTAGGGAGGCTCCTGGACACTGGAAGGAGAGAGGCGAGGCCGGCAGGGTGAGGACTTCTGGGAACAGTCAGGTCCCACAGACTTGAGCATTGTGGGCGAGCGGGGACTCACATGGTCCTACTGTGGGCCCTGAGTCCCTAAAGCCAGACCCACTCTCTGTTCCCTTTTCCTTCTCCGCAGAGAAGCCCAGAGGGAGCTCTTCTTCGGGCAGTGGAAGCCGGAGGTCATTTCTGAAGAGACAGCGGCAGCTCCTCCTATCCGCCAGGACCCTGCTGACCGCACCCCACAGATCCCTGTGGAGTGCCCAACCCCCGGAAAAGGGATCCTGCTGAGCGCCAGGAAGATGCTGGCTGTGTGGACCACTGGGTTAGTGTGAGCGCTCCAGCTGCCTCCCAGAAAGCGTCGTGGGAGCCTGCGGTACCCGGCGGCCACCGCCTCCCAGAGAAGCCTCGGGGTCCCCGGCGGGGCAGCGCAGGCGGCCGGACACCCAGCGGCGTCCAAGCCACCGCAGACCTGGCTCGCTTTTTCGTAATCCAGAGTCGGGGAAATGAACGAGGGTCTAGAGCAAAGACAGCTATTCTGAGGCCTTGCTCTTGGGCAGCCCTCCCGCGGTGTCCCCAAAGTCCCTAGGTGGCCGCCGCTCGCAGTGACCCTGAGAGGCTGCGCAGCCTCGGTCTTTGCTTCGGAGGGTGGCGCTCAGGTTTCCAGGGAAGCGTGCCGGGGAGGAGTCCGGGCTCTCCGCGGGGTGACGCGCCCACTGCACTCCGGCCTGACACCGGGAGACCCGCCCAGCGCAGGGCAGGGTGGCGCTGTCCCCCCGGAGGTGCTGAAACGGGCGCCGCCCGGCGGGGCGCAGCAGGAGCTCGCGGGCTCCCCGCACCCGCGGGAAGGGCTTCTCCCTGGAAGAACAGCAGCTCCGGCCGGCCACTGCCGTCGCCCCCAAACTGCCACAGCGGCCTAACTGGTCTCACTGCTCCGTCTCGCTCCCCAGTCCGTTCCGCGTCCAGGGCTACTTGCTCAGAGCGGGTTTGCCTTTTCCTTTCCTCCCCTCTCTTCTTCTGTGCTGAGAATCCAGTCCGGGCTTCTCACACCCAGGCCCGTGCGCTTTCTTCCACTGAGCTACACGCAGCCCCAGAGTGATCTTTTCAAGACACAGTTCTAAGGGGCTGGGGATAAAGCTCAGTGGCACAGGCACCCGCCTGGCAAATGTGAGGTCGTGAGTTCAATCCCCAATACAAAAACAAAACACCTGGGGACGATGTCTCCCATCTGTAATCCCAGCACTTAGGAGGCTGAGGCAGGAGGATGGCTGTGAGTTGATGGAGGAGGGGCTGAGCACTAGACAATCTGCACAGCCTCTGGAGAGCCGCCAAGGGCTGTGGAGGGGTCAGAGGCGGGCAGGAGAGGAACAGTGCAGTCCAGGTCACACTACCTCTAGACCTCCGGGACACACCATTCTGAAACCACAACTATGTGTGAACAGTAGAAGGTTCTGGTGGAGTCGAGCATCATTACTGAACAGTCCTGAGGAGCCTGCTCAGGTCCTTCACCCGCCTCCAGCGTACCTGAATGACCCACTACTCCATTGCAGATGGAGAAAAAAGGCTCAGTGTCTCCATTACTTTTCTCATTGCTGGAACAAAATATCCAACACCCCCCAATTAAAGGAGGGGATGTTTATCTTAGCTCGAAGTGTGTATAGTTCCAGTTCACAGTTGGCTGGCTGCAAGGCAGAGCAGCATCCCAGATGTCATTACAGGGAGTGAGAGTCCATGGTGCTGTCAGGCAGGGAGCAGAGAGCCATCAAGGGGCCACCCCCCCCCCCCCGCACTGACCCACCTCTTCCCACCAGGCTTCCCCTCCTAACCTCACACTCAGCCATAAACCTACAGGTGGACTAATCTAGGGTCAAAGGCCCATGAGTCTGTCACTCTCACATGCCCCACTGTGGAGCCAGGCGGGGTGCCTCATGCCTGTAATCCCAGCACTTGGGAGGCTGAGGCAGGAGGATCATTGCAAGTTCGAGACCAGCCTGGGCTACACAGTGAGCTCAGGGCCAGCCTGAACTGCATAGTGAGACCCTGTCTGAAAAAGACAAAAAAAAAAAAAAAAAAAAGCCCCCCATGAGTATTCACAGCTGGATCTAAGCCACAGCCCTTAGAGATGTGAAGGAGGTGGCCCCAGGTCACACATCTGGAGACCAGTAGATACAGGAAACAATGCTAGGTCTTCATTATGCTTTAAAGAAACAAAAGGCCCAGTGGATTTAATTTCCAGCAGTAACTCTGACACTGGCCAGTGCATACCTGGAGTCCCAGCACCATGGGAGGCTGATGCCTGAGGACCAAAATTTGGAGCCCATTTGGGTGACTTAGCAGGAACCTTTTCACAATAAAAAATAAAAGAAAGGGTGTGGGGACCCTGGGTCCAATCCCCATTACCACACACAGAAAAGAAACACTGATTCTGGATCCATCTGGCCTGGGTTTAAATGCCAGCTTTGACACTGGACTTGCCTTTCTGTGTCTCAGTCTCCTCAGCTGGAAAGAGAGAAGATTGAAGACAACGCGTATGAAATCCTTAGCATCCTAGCTACTATTATAACCCCCGCAGGTCCGAGACCCTCCCCACTCCACCAGGCAAATTCAGAAAGTAGAGGGGAAAGCTGGGCTGAGAATCCCCTCCCGCGCCCTGCCCGCCTGAGGAGGAGGGCAGAGGACAGAGGGGGGGCCTCGTGACTGCCTGGGCTGGCGAGCAATTTACTGGAGGAGCTCATTTGGCGACTCTGATTCCAAGTTAATTAAAGATGGCCACCAGGGGTCATTGCCATGGTGACAATTAGGCCAGGAAGGAGCCTCATTAAGGTGCGGTTTTAATAAGGCCAGTCGTTTTTAACCTAAGATCTCATTGCAGGAGAAATTTTTCAGGTTGCCTCGCTTTTTCCCTTTGCTATATTTCAGATCCTTCTGTAGACAGCTCCTCTGGAGGAAGGAGAGGGAGGAGGATTCCTGGATTCAGCAACAGGTCCCTCTGCGGGATTCCCCCAGCCTCTGAAAGGAGGTTGTCGGTGGGCAGAGGCTCAGAGGAGGGAGGTGGAGGCCGGAGGTCAGAGCAGGAGGTGAGGAAGGGGACTTTGTTCAAAATGGAGCTGGATGATCTTTGTGGAATTTAGAAATGTTGCCTCTGTCACCCAATGTGTTTCCCAAAGTGAGTGGGGTGAGGGGGTCTCTTAACTTGGAGCACTTTCGAAAGTCTGTATTTTTCTTATTCTCATAGTAATATATGCATACTGAGAAAAATTAGAAATTTCAGAGAAAGTTCTCTGAACCCCCCTAGACATTATGATTGTAAACATTGTTTGTTTGTGGAGACAGGGTCTTGATATATAGCCTAGACTGGCCTTAATTTGCTGTGATCCTCCTGCCTCAGCCTCCCAAGTGCTGGGATTATAGACTTGCACCACCACACCCAATTTGATTTAACATTTTCTGTGTAAGCACTAAGCACAGTCTCCAGGGTGCTGGCTGGAAGGAAGGGGAACGGGATGTGCCCTTTTTCAGTTGTACCCTTTCTGCTGTTAGCATTTCTTTTTTTTTAATCTTTTTTTTGTACCTGGGATTGAACTCACTACTACATGTTTTTTTTTTTTTGTTTGTTTGTTTGTTTTTTGTTTTTGTCTTTTTCATTTTTATCAGTACCGGGGATCGAACTCACGACCGCCTGCTTGCAAGGCAGGTGCTTATGCCGCTGAGCTAAATCCCCAGCCCCATTACTACATGTTTACAAGGCAGGTGCTTACGCCGTTGAGCTAAATCCCTGGCCCAGCATTTCTAGCAGAAGACCTTCCCAGTCAAAATGGCACTGATTGTGACATTTTTCTATCCAAATGCATCCTCTGTTTCTCTCTAAAAAATAAAAGTCCTGTTTTACCTTGGATTTTGAAGCCTAAATTTATCACAAAATACCTTGAGTACTTTTCTAAGATGTTAGATTTCCTCCCGATTAAATATTTGAAAAAAGCAATTGCAAAACACTCAAACTGTACGAAGAATGGGCTGGAAAGGCAAGTTTCCTACCTGAGTCTCCTTCCCTCCCTCGCTTGATTCTTTACTGCAGTAAAATCAGTCTCTTTTTGTCTCTCTGGAGACATTCTGTGTGGGTTCACACATGGACATTCTTATATCCCCACTTTGTACAACAGAGTTAGTGCACAGTTTGCCCTGTTCTGTGTCTTGCTTTTTGTTGTCAGTCTCTCTTGGAGTTTGTCCATCAGCAGCAGGCCCAAAGCTGTCTCAGTCTTTGTTTAATTCCTAGCAGGCTGGGGTCCTTGGGAATGAACAGAGGTGGTCCGTACTTCAGTGCCCAGCACCTGGCATGGTGGTTGGCACAGAAAAGCCCCCAGGAAATACTATGGGCAGGAACCACTGGGAATGGCTCAGGCTTGACTCTCCCGTGCTCAGGGATGTAGCTAAAGATGCCGCTCTGACTGGTGTGCCAGGAACCTGGTCCAGGTGACTCCCCAGCCCTCTCCAGCAGTGTCTGCAGCATTTCTGTGTCAGCCGCCCACTCAGGCTTACCTGTGGGGTAAAACTCCAGACTCTGATGGAGATCCAGACCCTCTCACCCTCCACCACACCCCTCGGAGCCCCGAGATGTACACAGAAAGCCTGCAATTTCTGCAGTCCCCATGAGATCTGGCTTCTGGTCACCTTCAAGGGAACCAGGAGCGACTATGGACATAAACAGTCAGAGGCAGATGTGTCCTTGATTATCAGAGTGCCCTTTCTGAATGAGAAACAGGCCGTAGCCCCCAAATCCATGTCACTCAGGCCATTGCATCTGGCAGTTAGTTACCAGTGCCGTTCCCACAGGGATGGTCATCACACAGGGACGGAGATCCAGAAATGGAGCAGCCTGGATGCCACACCATCAAGACTCAGGGAGGTCCCTGAGACCTGGGCCCTCCATCTCCAACCATGTTGACTTTATCTTCAAGCACATCCCCCATCGCGGGCACAGTGTCGCTGCCAGTAGTCATCAGAGCCATTGCAGTTGCCTCCTTGTTCATACAAAAGAATGAAGATGACAGAAAAGCTGGGCAGAGACCATGGCCCTGTGATCATCCCCAGCACAGCGCCATCTGCTGCTGCCTGACTCAGGTCCGCCATTCTTTTTCTTTCTTTCTTTCTTTCTTTTTTTTTTTTGGATAAGGTCTTGCTATGTAGCTCAGGCTGGCCTTGAACTCTTGGCAATCTTCCTGCCTCAGTCTCTCAGGTGCTGGGATTATAGGCATGTGCCACCATACCTGGCTCAGTCTAGCCATTCTTAACCCCCAAGTGGCAAGGTCCCTTTCCATAACACATGTGCTATCCTAAAGGAGTAGAAAATAGAACCTACTTCCATGTGTCATTGCACAAGTGTCAACACAATGCCCTCACCACAAAGGAAAGATGACATTGTGTCATGTGTGGTCTCGCTATTCAGGAAGCTGAGGCAGGAGGATCACTTGAGCCTTTCCAGCCTGGAAAGCAGAGCAAGACTCTGCTTTTAAAATAAAAGTAAATCTACACTATAGCAAAATAATATCTATGTCAAGACATGTACGCAGGCCCAAGTACTGTAGAAGGCCTGAAACAGCCAGCTGCTCTCATCTCCTTCCAGAGCATCAAGGAATGTGGTAGCAACAGCCACAAGCAGACACAAGTGGATTGCTGGGTGACAAAACATCTTCACTACGGCGATGTGGTCACATCGAAACAGCAGCTCTCGAGAAGACACCAGATGGGAGAAACCAGAAGCACGGTCGTTGGCTGTGGTGAACACTGCGTGTGTGTTCCTGGCCTGCAGAACCTGCTGTAGGGTGTGAGGTGGGCCACACTCCGGGGTCAGATTTTCTCTTGTGTTTCTGTCCACCATGCACGTGCGTGTGCGTGTGTGTGTGAGATTGTCAGGAATTCTAGAGCCGACCCTCTCCTCCAACATCCACAGCACCCCATCATTAGGATGACTGAAAAATCTCCCACACAAATGTCAACGCCTCCAGGAAACCCGCCACGCCTCTCAAAAGCTGAGGCTCTGGTACCATCAGAGTCCTCTGTTAGGCCTGGGGTGGGAGTGAGGGCCTGAGCCAACTGAGGTTCTGTTGTGAGGGCGGGGAGTTGCCACCAATGCCACTGCCACCAGCCTCAAGCTCAGGCCTCCTGCCAGCCGCACGCCTCGGCTCCCCTCTGGGCCGGCGCCACACGGAGTCTCAGGAGGTTCCCCGGTGTCGAGTGTGGGCGTGTGCAGTGTGTGTGAGCGCGTGTGAGGGCGTGCTCGTGACTCCGCTGGGCTGGCTGTCACAGCCAGTGTTCCTGTCCCTTGGCCTAAAAGAAAGAGCAGGCAGAAGCCAGGCGCGGTGGCTGCGATCCCAGACTCGGGGAGGTGGAGGCAGAGGTGCAGGTCTAGCCCAGCCCAGGCAAGCTGGAGACGTAGCCAGACCCTGTCCCGAAATCCAAAGGACAGAAACTGAGGAGGACTGGGGTGCAGCTCTGTGTGAAGGCTCTGGGTTTAATTCCCAGCGCCATGGGAAGAAAGAAAAGAAAATAGGAAAGGGAAGGGAAGGCAAGAGAAGAGAAGATACAGAAAAGCATAGAAATAGAGAGGAGGAGCGAGGCTGGTCCTGTGCCTCCGGGAGAGAACAAGGCCCCTCGGACTCTTCAGGGACGCCGGCCCGCAGGCCTGCCCAGCCCTCTCAGCCCCAGGAAAGCCCCTTCCGGCTACTCTGCCTCACTGGCTGCCCGCTCCTTGGGCTACTAACCTTAATAATGTGTGGGCTGACTTTACGTCATAGAACCCTCTTTTATTTATATTGTAGACATTTTCTTCCACGTATCGTGTGTCTTTTAACATTTTGTAAGGTATTTTTGGCTTTGTGCAAGCTTTATCTTTTCTTTTCTCCTTCTCTTCCTCCTCCTCCTCCTTATTCTTCTTCTCCTTCTCCTTCTTCCTCTCCCTCTTCTTCTTTTTCTTCTATTTTGGTGCTGGGAGTTGTTTATTATTTATTTATTTTTGAGGCAGACTCTCTCTAAGTCACTAAGTTGCCCAGGCTGGGCTTGATATTTCAATCCTCTTTCTCAGCCTCCCAGAGAGCTGGGCTCATGTCACAGCCTGGAAATCTGCATTCCTCTGTCTGTGTACTGCAGGACAGTGGCCTGGTGGTGCCTGTACACTGACATGCAGGGCCCTGGGCCAGGAGGGAGCTGAGAGGTGCCAAGACCTGGCTTCTTTCCATTCAGCTCCCAGGAGCCCCAGCCAGTTGCAGGGCAAGAGACTGGAGAGCCCATGTCCCCCTGGTGACCCTTCTGGAAACAAGGGTGCCAGGCACACTGGTCCAGGGAAGGCCAGGGAGTCCCGGAAGTCCTCTCCTGGGCTCAGGACTGGGTGTGAAGGTCAGGAATGGGACCAAGGGAGTCCACTGAGGTCCGGCAGGCACTGGGTGCATGGTAGTCCTGCACCTCACTGGCTGTGCAGCCTCCGGCCAGCCTGTGGCCCTCCAGACTCAGCTTCCTCCTTGCTGGAGTAGGAGGCTGCCCAGCGTGGGGTCAGCTCCACCCTGACTCTCCACACCCTGCTCCTCTCCTGCAGCTGGCGCCCCGTGCCTCAAAGCTGTTCCTGTGCGTGCACAGCCAACGTGCCTTACAAATCAGGCAGCCACTGGCCATGGGCACAAGCACCGCTCTGCAGTCCTCTGATTAGATGTGTGCTGGGTTCATTTGCATCTTGTCATTTTCTCTTAGAAGCTGGAACCATCCTTTTGGGTTTTCAGGCCCTGTCTATTTTTGGAGCCCCAGAAGAGCTCAAGAGCTGAGCCTATGCCTGGTCCCACTGCTGGGGGCCCAGAGCCCCTCCATGTGGCCTCTGGGCCCGAAGGCCCAGTGTGAAGCCTCAGCCTGTCTCAACCCATTCAACACAACACAGTCCAGCGATCTTCATTTCATTTATACAGGTTTTACCAGTCTGAATATAACGATTTTTTTTTCCAGAAAGGTGATTCATTCATTCCTATGGCTCAAAATTCAAAACGTACCAAAGTGTTCCCAGGTGGCAGCTTCTCCCTCTCAGCAGCTGCTACTTAGCTGTGAGGAATCCTAATGTCTTTTTTTCTTTTCTCCATACTAGAGGTTCAATGCACAAGCCACATCCCTGTCCTTTTTTATTCTACTTTTTATTTTTTTGAGAAAGGGTAGGTTGCTTTGCCCAGGTTGGGGCTGGAACTTTTGATCCTCCTGCCTCAGCCTCTCAGGTGCTGGGATTACAGCAGTGTGCCGCCAGGCCTGACTCTGATGTTCACGGTTTTTGTGTTTTCTAGATACATTCTTTGAATATTCGGGAGTGTAGGTACACACAGTCTCTATTTGGGGGCCTCCTCCTCTTCTCTCCTCTTCTATGACAGGAAACACTATTCTCTAGCATCCACACCCAGCCAGACTTTGGAGTGCTTTCTGGTGCCCGGACAGGAAAGCTCATTCTGTGGATGGGTACCCCAGGGCCCTGCAACACATACCCTTCCCATCTCTCCCAGTCCCGTTCTCCTCTAGGCTGTGACAGTCGTGCCTCGCGGTCCCCGAGACAGAAGCGGCACTCACAGGTCCCGAACCCAGGGGCCGGGCACCGAGCCTGGTGCAGAGGTCTCGGAGCCCCGAGAGCGCTCGCCGCCGAGCGTCTTCGGAAGGACGCGACAAGGGAATGCTTTGCCACAGCGACACCTCGTGGTAGACTTCGGGAGTGCAGCAAGGATGGGGCGAGGGGAGGGGTTGACTCTCAGGGTCCAGGCCCGCAGCACCCCAGTCCTCCACTCCCTCCAGCCCATCCACTGCGGACCTAACTTTGCCGGCCAGCGTCCCAAACTGTGCCAGGCTGTGACCATTTTTCCAGATGCACCCCTCCGTGATGGGGGCCTCGCGGCTCCGCGGAGGGCATGTGCACGTGCGCGCCTCTCGAGGTGGACCTGGTCTATAACCTGAGCAGATTTTAACACTACTTTTCTATAAGACAGTACTCCAGACGAAGTAATCATGAAATGAATAATAACAAATACATGTCCAGCAGTCAAAAGTGCCCTTCATTTGAATTTTCAAATGGTTCGCACCATTTGAAAAATTAACAGAATAAGAAATAATTATAATACAAGAGGAAAAAACAGGACAAATACTTTTAAATTACTTATTTCAAAAGGGAGGGGCATGTACTTGCATACTGGTCTGTCCTGGTATTGAATAACATTATATTAGAATTCAATAAAAATAAGACTGGCAATTTGAAAAGAAGAAACTTCAATTTTAAACACATTGTTCAAATTCAGTAAACTATTTCCTGTCTGATCTAAAACTGGGACTTTCCAAACAAAACCATCACAGCCTCACAGGCCATGCTCCTTTCCACATGCAGTCTACCACTGACCTGCACCTCGGTCCACTGTTGTTCGACTCTGTGCTGGGACTGAACTCAGGGCCTTTGTGTTCAGCTCCTCCCCATCCCGTTTTAAGTTGCTAAGTCACCAAGTTGCCCAAGATGGTGACCCTCCTGCCTTGGCCTTCCAGAGTGCTGGAATTACAAGCATGGACCACCACAGTCAGCTATCCCTCTGTTTTAATTTTTTTTTTTTTTTTTTTTTTTTTTTTTTTTTTTTTTTTTAGGTACCAGGAATTGAACTCAGGACCTTGCAGGTGCTTGTGCCGCTGAGCTACATCCTCAGCCACACTCTGTTTTGTTGTGGAGGACTGAACCCAGAGCCTCAAACTAAGCACAGTTTTAAATTTAACACGAGTGAAACAATTCAAGTTCTATTTCTACAACTTTCCTGTCACTGAGCTATGGCCTGGAGACGCATATTATATCTGAATTGACTTGGTAAATTCTAACCTTGAAACCTAGACAGGGGTCAGTGATGGAGCAGGAGTTCTTGGAATTAGCTCTTCTGCAGAATTGGGTTAATTAAGGGATAAGTAATAAACCATGCATATGTCAAGCCATATTTATTATAAAAACTCAGCAGGTAGGATAGAAAAGCACACAGATTACCCTTCAGCAGACAGCAGAAGAGCACAAGTCGCAGAGATGGAGTAGGAGGGCTGGATGTTGCTTGCCTGGCAAGTAGGTGAGGCCCTGGGTTCAATCCCAAGCCCAATTTAGAGAAGAAAAACAAGCAAGCAAGCAAACAGAAAACAGAAGAGACTAGAAAACAGGTTACCAGGGTTTAGGGGAGGGAGAACAGGGTTATTATTTAATAGGTTCGGCATTTTTGTCCGGGATGATAAAAGTTCCGTTCGACAGTAGTGGTGACAATTATACCACATTGTGAATGCATGAGACACCACTGAATTACATGATTAAAGTGGATAAAATAGGGGCTGGGCTAGCTCGGCGGTCAATTGCATATTTAGCATTCAGGGACATACAAAGGAAGTTAAAATATAGCAATAACAAAATGCTTAAAAGTTGGGGCTGGGGATTTAGCTCAGTGGCATAAGCACCTGCCTTGCAAGCAGGCGGTTGTGAGTTCAGTCCCTGGTACCGATAAAAAAAATAAATAAAATAAAATAAATGCTTAAAAGTAACCTTTATGTTATACAAAACACTCTGAACCGGCTGGGGGTTTAGCTCAGTAGTATAAGTGCCTGCTTGGCAAATGCAAGGTTGTGAGTTCGATCCCAGGTACCAAAAAAACCCAAAAAAGTCACTCTGAGCGGCCATCAGTCAGGTCAGACATAAAAAGTAATGTGGGGAGAAGGGAGGAATATCTTTTCACTGACACACAGACATGCCAGGGCAAAGTGATAAATAAAAGCAAACCGGAAGTGCGTTTTATCACTGTTTTAAATTCTCTGAAGGAAGTGGGAGAAGAGGGGAAGGAAAGAAACAAAGAATTCAGGTATGTTATATAACTGTACCGACTTCCCACAGTGAATGTAACCCTTATGGACTACAAGCATGGACCAATAAAAAAATTTTTTAAAAATTTTAAGATTCTCTACAGAGCATCCTCTTGCCTGTCCTGGGCTGGGTATGTCCTGCTTCCTGGCCTTGGGGACAGTCTTGGTGTGCTTACTTTTGTGGGCCCAGAGCTGGGTTTTCCTCTTCTCCGTGTGTGTCTAACTCGGTGAGGGACTTGTCTGAGGACTTTCTGAGACACCAGGAACAAGGCCTGTTCCAGTGTGTGCCTCTCAGTGTTTCTGTTTGTGTCAGTCTGTACCATGTTGTTTGAGGACCAAAATCATAGAAGGTGTTGGTCACCCAGTGTCCATGAGAAGGGTCTAGCATGCATGTCGAGGTACACATTTGTGCGGTACATGGCAACCGTCTGCACCCCTGCTCCCTCTCTCTGGCCTTGGGGTGAGCGGATGATGTGATGCCGACCCCACGTTTTAGAGCTGGGGTCCTCCCAGGACTGGCCTGATAGGGGAGGGTCCTCAACAGTCACATCAAAGGTTTTGAGGTCATGTTCCTGGTGATTCCCAATCCTTCCAAAAGTCCCAGGCGGCCCTGCACCTGCTCATCCATGGACCCCAAACTGGGTGTTTAGAAATAATCCAGCAGTGACCACGGCCTCTTGAAGACATCTTGTTGCACCCTTACACAGAGCTACGAGCCTGAACCTTTAGAGGAAATGGCCTAGGAGCCATGTGGGACAAATCTGAACTGGCATCAGGAGAGCCAAGCCATGTCCTCTCCCCTGGCTGGATTTCCCAGCACAACTGTCAACTCTCTGGGTCTGGATTCCATTATCGTCAAGGTGAGCATGGTGACCCATCAGACTCCCTTTCCCCTACCTACTTCCCCGTGCCGCACCTCAAATAAGCTTCAGTGGCACCCCTTCAGGGCCCTCCAGGAAAGGCTGGTGGGAGGGCTTCCCTCCTTATAGGAGGGCTTCTCCCTCTGGACTGAGCAGCTGGGGATGAAGAGGTGGTGGAAGTGAGCCAGGCCAGGCCAGTCTAACCCAAGCCCTTAGCCACTTCCTTCCGGCTCTGGGGTTCCCAAGTGGAGGTGGAGTAGATGGCCAGGAAAACATTTTCTGAACAAAGGTTGGCCCCAGCTGCTGATGTGCTTTTGGGAGCCGTGGCTTTGGCCAGCAGGGAAGAAAGGCTCCTTCTCTCTGGGGGTGAGTACTGGCACTGGCTGCCTGAACACAGGGGGCATTCAGATGCCCAGGGCCCACGGGCTCTGCCAGCTGCCTGGAGAAGGAGCCATTATGTTGTCCCCACCCGGGCTAGTGGGCTCTCCCTCTGCGACCTCGGGGGCCTGGCTGTCTCCTTGCTCCCATGATGTAAGGGGACCTGGAAGTGCCCGGGCAGCCAACCGGAACCAGCTCTGTGGGAGGCAGGCAGGTGTGGGCTTGGGGGCTGGGCCCTGCTCCCACTCATTCCAGTGTTTGGGGCTGGGGACCTGGGGGTGGTGGTGAAGGGTGTGTGTTGGGGGGCTTGTGGATTCAGGACCACTCTGAGCTGAAGAGAACTTGCACCTGGGGCTCTGTGCACCTGGGCATGTGGTATGTGCCAAGTAGGAGGAACCCAGGTCCCTCCGATGCTTTGGGGATCCCAGTTCCCACCCATATGTCCTGCAGACTTCCAAGCTCGCAGGAAGCCACAGAGATCCTTCCTTTGCCAGAGCACTGTGGGGCTGGGGGGAACCCCAGTGTGCACTGATGAGCTGGGAAACCCCCTCTTATGGGGGTGAGGAGACTACAGGGAGCAGAGACTGAAAGTTGCGGGGTTCCTCCTCCCATTGCAAAAATGAGCTTTGTCTTGAGAGGTCAGCAATGTCCCTGGGCAGCTACCCGTCCTTTTATCCATTGAAATCCAAGGGCCAAATACAGTAGGTGCCAGGACGGGGTCCAAGAATAAAAGTTAGGAAACAAACAAACAAACAGGTTGGGAAACACAGGAGACTCACTTCAGGGAAGTTTGGGCTTAATTTAGCTCAGAGAGTCATTTCTTCCTTGTGACAAACATCCTTATGGAAGACATTGATGTTAGAGGAACCTGGGCATGGGCTATATGGGTACTATCAGCAACTTTTCTGTAAATCTGAAGTAATCCGTACATGAAAAGTTCACAGTTTGTTATTAAGATTTTTTGTTTGTTTGTTTGAGACAAGGTCTCACTATGCAATTCAGGCCAGGATTGAAGTGAAGTCATTTTGTAGCCCAGGCTGGCCTCAAACTTGCAGCAATCCTCCTGCCTCAGCCTTGCAAGTGCTAGGATCATAGGAATGTGCCATCATGCCCAGCATCAGATGGAAACATAATTTTGTTTTGTTTTGGTACCAAGATGGCTAGGCAGGCACTGTGTCACTGAGCTACATGCCCAGCTCTGTTATTAACACTGTGGAAGTCACAGCCGGAGACCATTTCTGGACACAGTTAATTTAGAATTTGGAGTCTTTCCACATGCAGACCTATGAAATGTAGTTTCTATTTAGAGAGCAGATCATGTATGTCTTTATTCCATGATGTCATGTCGTGTATACTCATCCTTTAATATGTTATTACTTGCTTTATTTCTTTTATTTGAGACAGGGTCTTACTGTGTAGTGCAGGCTGGGCTTGAACTTGATTATGTAGCCCAAATTGACCTTAAACCTATGGGAAGCCACCTGCCTCATCCTCCCGAGTGCTGGCTTTACAGGTGTGCACCACCACACCTGGCTTTTTATTTATTTATTTTTCTTTTCTGAGACAGGACCTTACTGTGTCACTCCGGCTGGTCTTGAATGCCTGGGTTCAAGCAATCCTCCCACCTCAGCTTCCCCAGTAGGTGGAACTCTAGGTGCCACCACTGCCCCTGGCTCTGCATTTTAAAGATAAAGAAACCACAGTTCTGAGGGGCTAGAAGCTGAATGAGGCCACAGAGCCAGAGATGTGGAGCCCAGGTGCAGGGACTCCTGAGCTGGGGAGTTTGGGGCACTTCCCGTGTCACCAAGCCCCTACCGAGACACCTGTTTGGCCAGTGAGCCTGTACAGGAAAGGGTTCCAGGCTGTATTGGGCAGGGAGGTGGTCACGAGGGGGTCTCTCAGCCTCAGCCCCTGGTGGGAAGGGGGCTGGATCGAGCCATCCTTTGGCCAGGACTGAAGCCTTTCTTAAGCCCACCCTGTCAGTCCCCAGCCCCACGGCCCCCGCTGCCCGGCTGGCCAGGCTCTCTGGTGCATAGAGGGTGTTCCCTTGGCTTTCACAGCTCCCGGCCCAGCTGCCCAGGCTGTGGGTGGCTGGGCCAGCTGGCCCCCTCCCCCCGGGATGGGACAGCGGGACGTTGGGAGGATGCCTGGGTGGGCAGCTAGTGAGAGCTGGCTTCCTGGGGCCTCCCTGGTGCTGAGCAGCGTGGCCACTTCCGAAGGCCCCTTTGTTCGCCCCTTTATCCAGAAGAGCGGCGGCAATTGTGCAGGGTACAAAGCCCCCTCAAGCCCTGACTTCCCACCCTTGCCTGTGGCCCGGTGGGGAGAGCCTTTCCCAGGCTCCTGAGACGCCAGTCTCCTGCCCCCTCGGAGGCAGCTGGGGACCCAGACCCTCTAGTGAGGAGCCCAAGATCTATTCATCCGCCCCCACCCAGTCCTGGGCTCCACCATTCACACGGCCACAGGCTTGCGGCCCTGCAGCTCCTACCACAGGCTGCCCTCACGCTCTGCACACATGCTGCGAGCTGGCCCTGGGCTCCGGACTGCGAGGCCCTGGGAAGAGGCTGCCACACAGCTTGGGAAGCAGGGGCTGCCCAGGGCCAGAGAAGGTGCAGGGTGGAGGAGGGGAGAGGGAAAAGCAGGACTCCTTGACTTCTTCCTGCTCTTCCTCCTGGACCCTAAAAGCACAGCGTGTTGAGCCCTCCCATGGCTGTCCCCTCCTGGACTAGTAGGGTTGAAAGAACCCAAGCAACTTCCTCAGGGTTGCCGAGCTCCTAAGTGGAGCTCAAGGCCATGGGTCTGAGCTCCTCACCATGTGGCCATGCTGCAGATGGGGCTCCATGGATGGTGGCCTTGTCCCCAGCTCCTCTGACTGGCTACCCAGGGAGAGCGCCTGCGGGGCCCAGTCTCAGTGATCCCCTGGACATGGAGGGAGGCTCAGGTCTGTCCAGGGGAAGATCAGGAAAGTACTTTGCTCTGCTCAGATCTTGTGCCCTGCACATGTCTCATTCCCCAGAGGGGCTGCAGAGGGACTTTCGGGGTAGCTAGTAGCCTTCCCCAACCCCCTGTGTTAGGGTTCGTGGGTCATGGTCCAGGGTCTTTGCTGGAATCCAGAAGGCAGCTCAGCCCCAGGGGCCACACTTGGGACATCAAGTGTGGACATCCCTCCACGGAGAGCCAGCCTTGCTGACCTCCAAGCCAGGAGTCCTGGCATCCTCAGGAGCAGACGCAGTGCCCAGATTCCTCCACTGAGACTGAACCAGCCAGCTGCACATCCTGTCATTCTTCCACTCGGAGCTCCTTCTTCTATACATGGCCCCAGAGAAGGCACACAGCTTCCCCCACATCACACAGCTCGGAGCTCTAAGGTAGTCATTTATCCACAAGAATGCAAATCCCCAGTTACCATTTACTGAGTGCCCGGGCTCTGTATCAGGGACTTTATTCCGTGATATCAGCCTCTCTGAATGAGGATTACTATGGCCTGTTATTTGGCATCTGGGAACCAAAATTCGAAGTCCAGTGACTTCTCCAAGGTCACAGAGCTAGGGAGAAGAGTAGGAATTCAGCACAGGTCTGTCCCTCTCCTCCCTCGGGGGCCTGAGGTCTGCTCACTCCAGCTCCCTCTTACTCAGAGCCTATTGGGCCCTGGCTCTCCAGCAGCTGCTCAGAGTCTTCAGGGGCCGCTGTCACCCAGGCTGTCCTCTGCTGGGGGGAGCTGGGATGCTCCCCTGGTGGAGCCAGGGACCTTGCCGTGCTGTGCTGCTAAGGCCCTGCAAAGCAGGGCAGAGGGAAACCCAAGAGAATGGAGGGCTGGCACCCCATCTGCCCACCCCCCAGGACCTTCCCTTGTGAGA